CCCCCCCCCGTTTTATCCGCGCGGTTTTTCAATCAAGGCTAATCCCTCTCTCTTCCAACCGGCGTCGGGCTCGTCGGGAGTCTGTGCGTGTCTTCGTAACGTCTTAACGTCAAACTCGACGTGCGCGAATATCGTAAGTAGAACGTGGATGCAGATGAATCGGTGGACCCCCCCCCCCCTTTCGCCAAACTTGGCTGAATGAAAGTGAATTATAATAATTTTCCACGGGTGTTCGAGGCGCTAAGATTAGTATCGGGAAAATTAATTCTGTCGCTTGTCAAAATATAACTCACTCTCTGACACATATAAGATTCTCCTTCTACTTGACGAGATTCTTTTTTAAACGTAGTTTTGATGAAATGGCAGGATGTTCGATCTTAGGTTTGTAAAACTTTTATGATTTTCATAACTGTTGAACATTTTCGAGTACCCATTTTTCGAAGTTTAGTTGTACGTAATTTTTGTAGTTAATGTTTAGATAATTGAAGTAACTCTAAAAAGAGCTAATTTTAAGTTTAATAGCGACTGATGGAACTTATTTTGCTGCTTCATGAAAGCTCTAAACTTAGACTACGTCAACTCTATGAGATGTAATATCAATTGACTGGATTACACCTAATCATAATATGTATAATTTACCAAAACCACCGCGGTAATGCTTCTATTCTCCTTACTGTTTTGAAATAAATGTGGTGAAGATCATCCGAATCATACGATGCTGCTGAACAGTTCGAAGCACCTGTCTCAATCCTTGCGTTCAAAGATTTACGCGTCTATTTCATTTTCTCGTAAATGAAAAAAAAGGGAACAATAATGTTCTTTGATGGTTACTTAGGGTATTCTTTGCGAGGTGAAAAACTGTCAGCTTCAATTTCAAGCTTTAGTATGCCAAAGCCCGATTATGATTTTAAAGTTCTTTCGTGCCCACTAGTCTAATTGAATCAGTGAGAACGGAAACACGCCAGCTCGAAAAAATGAAAATAATGAAGACACACACACACAAAACTGCATATTAGGTAAAGAAGCTGGTCTAAGAAAAAGATTTTTGGTGCCCAAAGCAAGTACCTAAGGACACTTCAAATATCCAAGTTAGAACAGGTACGGTAACTTCAATGACCATTATGAAAATTGTCTTTCCTTCGTGTTAAGTGAGCATTTTCGAGTTACCGAGTTGGTGGTTTTCGTTCTCACTGACTCAATTGTAAGAAGAAAATTGTGTGTGATGAAATTGGAGAGTTACATGAGGAATAAGGGCAAGTTTCGAAACTTCAAATACTTCGCGAAAAGTTACGAGAGAGCACATGATCCAGTATAAAACTTACGTGGAATAAGTCCAAACCGCCCTCTAATGAAATTTATGGAACTTTTTATCGCTAAATATATTTAACTTAGAGTTTATCTTTTAGGAAAAAATTGACGAGGTGCCAACTACTCAATTAAACTCCCCAAGATAACCATAAAATCTATATCATCAGATTATACGGATTAGCTACTTACAAAAGCTGGAAGCCTCTTTTCTGATAAGCGGATTTCTGATAGCTTTGTCAACATTTCTTACACCCCCTTCAACGTTCTAAATCGATTAACTTTTATCTGAGAGTACATAATTTCAAGAGCTGGAAACTGTCTCGATTACTTTCCACAGAGAAAAATTAGCCCGAGTGAAACTGCACGTTTAGGGTTCCTCAATCTGGAAAAATCTCAAGAGTCTGTGACGATCTCATAAGAGTTGTGCAACTATATATGGTTTGCGCATAAAGCTTTCGTGAGTTTTCGGTGCGGCGGTGAAAATGTGGTTTTGTTTCGAGTGAAACGTCCGGACAGTTTGATATGATAACCTGATTTTCCTCGTCAAAAGTCTCCCTTGCAGCGACTGCGTTATACGAGTGAGTATATGATCAAAATATCGATGGTGTAATTCATCGTGGCAAAATTTCATGAGAAATAAAATCTTGAAATTTCATGTGAATTATTTCATGAAATTTCAGAAATTTATAAAGGATATTGAAAAATACCGTTCCCTTTTTATGTCTCGCAAAATGTAAAAATTGTGACTTTCTTCTGTTTTTGTGTGTTTGAGTGCGGGTTGTAATTCAAAACATTTTGTTACAATAAATATCCTTAATTTTGACTCATAATTAAGAAATCAGCGTTTTTATAGTTCATCGATTTAAACTTTCCGTCCTCAAAATACCAATGTCTGCTTAAATCAAGCGGGGGCTGAATTCATTTCAGAAAATCCTAATAAGAAATACGTTTTTCATTGTGCTGGGTGTTTTCTAACAATTTAAAATTTTGTGAAACAATTTTTTAATCATTGGCGAATGATAGGTTTGGCTTTAACAAACAATTTGCTTTTATGTTGATTCAGGTTTTTTGCCAGTGTGAAGTCAGAATTCACAAATTCTGATACACACGTTAATATCTCACTTGCGAGTTAATTTTGACAATTAATAGTTTTAAATGTAGTCAGTAAGAAATTTTGATGTACAAATAAGTCCTGAAGAGCTTTAGTTCTCACCCTGTTTGGTCATAGTATTTTACGGTTCTGCCATGGTAACGAAGAACGCCGTATGAGCCTTCCGACGTTGCCTAATTTCCTTTTATAAACCGAATTTACAGGGAAAATTGTGAATGTTTTCCCCCAAAATTGCCAGACGATTGCGTACGGAAATTAAGCCAAAATATCTGAAAATTTCAAAGAATAATGCACATGAATGTCGTCAAAAATACATGTTTTATCAAGGGATATTTGGCAACTCTCGAATGTTCAGACGGCGTTTTTCCTTAACATAGCAGTGTTGCTCCGGGCTCAGTACAAAGGGCGCTTATCCACAGTTAGATGTTAAGAGTAGTTTTTGAGCTTTTAAGTTAAAAAAACTGGATTTAACAAAAAATGATACTCCTCAACATAGACTCTGCATAAAAAATGTTAAAATTTGAAAACTGCACTACTTTACTGCCGGGTGAAGTTTTTTCGCCTTTCGAGGATTATTTTTGTCAATTTCAACTCGATGTTGGTGAATGATTTCTTCTGTACAGAGTAGTTTTTGAGTTGTTAAGTTAAAAAAATTGCTCTTAACAAAAAGTGATACTCCTCAACATAGACTCTGTGTAATATGTTAAAATTTGAAGACTACACTAATTTACTGTCGGGTGAAGTTTTTTCGCCTTTCGAGGATTATTTTTGTCAATTTCAACTCGATGTTGGTGAATGATTTCCTCTGTACAGAGTAGTTTTTGAGCTAATAAGTTAAAAAAAACTGCTCTTAACAAGTGATAACATGGACTCTTCCTAAAAACTGTTGAATTTAAAGACTATTCTCGTTGTCAGATGAAATTTTTTCGTCTTTCGAAGATTATTTTTGTCATTTTCAACTCGATGTTGGTGAATGATTTCTTCAGTTCAACTCAGCCCATTCAGAAATTAAGAGTGTAACGCGAGAAGGTAAAAAGAAGTTCATTGGCACCGTGCTGATGGGTGATGTGGGGAAAGAGGGACAAATCCATACCACAGAGAACTGAATGAAATAGACACAAGTTGGTAATTAGCCAAGGTGACGACGTCATAACTCTATAACGAGCGGATTCTGTCAAATTTACATTCTCACCAATTCTGTCGCAACTCTAAAGAATCAGTTTTTCATGCATTGCAGAAATATGAAGTTTACCCACTTGATTGAAATCTTTGTCCCAAGACGGAAAATCTAACAGAACCACGCGCAAATCGTATTTTTATAAAAAAATAAATTGCAGGTCTTTTTTAAATTAAAATTTCCCTGATTTTTCTTGTAATTACGTGCAAACATTAACAAAATACTGGACAGAGAAATCGAGCAATCGTTTTCTTGTAAAAACCTGAATGGTTTTCAGTGAAGCTTGCAACCTTAGAGCTGGCAATGAGTTACGTTGCTTCGTCTAAAAAATCACTATTTGTGACTGCACACAAGAGGTAGGATTTTATAATCGACAAAAAACTCAAGCCACTGTTGAAAAGTATAGAAAGGGCCTTATGAATATATTGGGACAAAAAAGGCTTGAAATGTTAAACCAAACTGAAATTATGCTGAATTAATTAATTGAATTATGATGACTGAGGTCTTCCGTTCAAAATGCGAAGTGTCAAGAAAAAACTGACCAGCATATTGATTTGTTCTGTGGAGTACAAAATTAATTTTCCGTTAAAATGTCAAAGTCCAGAAATTTGTCTCGCCTCAGCATAAATAGCTTCACTGCAAAATTCACCTCTGTCGACCAAAGTTCTATTATTCTCTCGTTTACAATCACATTTATATTAACTTGTGTGCTGCTCCAGCTATATTTCGTATTGATATCCAAGCAACACATGGTAACTTTAAGTTGGTTCGTTTGGTAATCCGCCTGATTTTAAGTCGTTCTCGAGAAAAATTGAAAAGTCTTTCCACCATGAGGAAATTTCTTTAAGAAATTACAGATTACGGTTATGAGTCTAATACACGATAGATGCTGGCTAAGTCATGAAAAAACATCTAATGCAGTTTTTCAATAATATCTATAGATGATGGTAGTAAGTTGAAGGAAAACTGAGAAAATTAAGCAGGAAAGAACAAAATTGGACGACGCTGTTTACTATTTATGAAGGTTGAACCACATTCCCTTAAAAAGTAAATTAGAGAGCAAACAACTGATTACCATGATTTCAATTCGAATTTCTGGCATTCCAGTGCGAAAACTGAAGGAAAAACTAACAGGTTTCAGTGGTGAGGCGTGAATGATCGATTATCGATACGTCCCCACTTGAAGCTATGGCAAAGAATCGATTATTAAGATGTTCGTTGCGAACACCCTTTTCATCGATCCTTTTCCATATATTTAAAAGACAGATCAATCGATACATCGCAAAGCACGCCACGCCACAGACAGGTATTAAGAGATCAAAGAATCGATGACAAGATTCATTTGTTCTTGTCGACCCTCACTGCAATAAATCTTGGATAGTACAAACAGTATCGCCAATTTTGTGTAAAATTCATCATTTTTACACCCTTTTACGTTGAAGCTTGTGAGAATGAAGGAAAATAACTGACGAAAAGGCAACAAAGGAGTTGCCGATTGGAGGCGGAATCGATTATCAGAGGCACAATCCGTGCCAAAAATCGTGTCAGATCTAAGTGTCTTCCCGATGCCATATTGACGAAGAGGCGAGGCGTGATGATCAATTATCGATATTTCCTCCTTTGAAGCTGTGGTAAAGGATCGATTAAAAAGGTTCTCGTCGCAAACACCCTGTTTATCGATCATTTTCCATAGGTTTAAATGGCAGATCAATCGATGTATCACAAAGCCCGCCATCGACGTGAATCCCTCTGATCATTTTGCCAAAGATGTGGTATGCTAATGGTGAAATAGATGGCCCTTGTCTCATTTACGGTGTTTCAAAATTTTCGCTTACATTTTATTTTTCTCAGGGAAACGAGGCGAAACCTCATTTCTTGACATTTTTTTAAAGAAAATTACTAGAAAAATGAAATTCGCGGGTGTTTTTTGGAAGAAAACGGCGATGTAAAATTTAGTTTTCAATTTTAAAACTGAAGTGTTACGCACAATAATTTCTGAATATTTCAGAGGTTAGTTTTCTCTAACCTCAGGTTAGAGGTTAGTTCAGAGAATGGCAGGAGACAGGTTGCCGAAGAAGGTCCTTGACTGGGTTCCTCCTGGGAGAAGACGCAGAGGGCGCCCAATGAAAGGTTGGAGGGAAGGGATTGAAGCAGAAATGTTAAGGTGCTCAATCCCCCAAGATTTGTGGTTTGAAAGAGAGCAGTGGAGGTTAGGAGTCGTAGAGCGCGAGGGAGTGCTGTAAAGCGACTTATATGTATGTATGTATGTAGTTTTCTCTAAATCCAGGTCTCGTTTTCATGCCTAATAAAGGAGCCAAACATCAAGCAATACCTGATGGCTCTTACTAGGTTTCGAATTTTTACTCATCATTTGCCTCTGAGAAACAAGTTTCAGAACAGCGAGAAAAGCGCCGAATAAATCCCTTGTTGAATCCAGCTCGATCATGCTCAGATTCGAACTGTCACCAGTGGCGTGGCTTTGCAATATATCGATTGATCTGCTATTTAAACCTATGGAAAAGGATCGATAGATAGAATGTTCACAACAAACACATTAATAATCGATTCCTTACCATACCTTCAAATGGGGAATTATCGATCATTATCTGTCACCGTTGCTCCGAACTCGTTAGCGGCGTATAATTAAGAGACTCATCCCAATACCCTGTTTCCTTTTGCTAATAAGCACCCGTGAAAACGATCGATCGTTGAATGACCTTTATCGATAAAATCCTATCTTTTTAGTGCTATCTATCGATATCGAGAACTTTCGATAATCGACACAATCCGAGTTTCCTCGGCGACAAGACAAGACGATGCGAAGCGCGCGCCAAACTTACATACTGCTGTGCTAAGTAAAAACACCGTATGAGCATTCGAATGTTGCCAAATTTCCTTTCTGGAAATATTTAGTTTCGAACAAAGTTACTCGTATCAATATTTTTCAATGAAGAATTGAGAAGAGAATTCACCAAACACGCATGGTTAATGTATTAGAATTTATTCATGATACGTACTTGAATACATTTCGCGAATACTTATCCCATCATCAGCAAGATACAACAAAAAATATGAACGATGGGTGTTTTGGTGAACTTTCTTCTCCAGTGATAATAGCACGCAAGATGTGTTTCTCTAGAATATTTTTCCTTGAAATTTTCTGACTTTTTAGATCAAATTAAGAAACGGAATCATGTGGAAAATCGGAAGAGAAATATTTACGAATTTTCCTGGAAATTCGTGATTTGTTGAATGAAATCTAGCAACGCCAGATGGCTTATACGGCGCTCTTCCTTAGCGCAGCAGCATACCTCGCGATGTTTGTATTGGCAGAAGTAAACGGCTCCGGCTTAGGGAGTTTCGGTGTTTTTCGGCTCTATTTCCGCCTCGCGTGCTTCCAAACACAATGAAACACAGTGCAACGTTTCATTGCCAAGTGCACTCAGCGCAACAAGGCGCGAAGGAAGGGAATCCCAAAAATCGCTGTAATCCATGCTGTGAGCTTTTTGGTGTCGTTACTTTATTAACTCAGCAACAAAGAACTTTCATTCTACAACCGGAGTATTTTGAGGTAAAGAAATGTACGGCATTTCGTATATAGTTTCCTGAACTGTCGTTATCCTCACGAAAGAGCGTAAGTACATTTGGATTGCATTTTGCAAAAAGGAACCTCTAGCATTGCAATGGTGCTAAGATTGTGCAACTTCATCCTTTGCAATAAAATTGCGGAAATTGTGAAAAACTATGAAATTTAGATGGTAATTTTTGTCTTAAATTTACAGTTTTTAGCGAGTAAAATAGAAACTATTAAGGGATGATCGGGTTTTTCCTCCAAGACAAAAGAATTTGCACAATCTTAGCAACATCGCAATGCTAGTGGTTCCTTTTTGCAAAATGCAATCCATTTCAATGTCACCAAATTCCTCCTCTCAAATTGCATTTTTACCAGGAGAATTTCGGCCTTTTCGAACTGCAAATTTCGCCGATTCTTCCTCTGATCTCATGCGAATAGAGGGAAATTCGACAAAAAGTGCAAAAGTCCATTCTTGTAATATATTAAAATGTCCAATTTTGCAACCTTGGAATAGAGTTACGTTCCTTTGGGCGGGAAACTACAAAATGAGGGAACGTAGCCTTATAAGAAAATACTCAAAATTAAGATTTTTTATTTTAATAATTTTACATCAATAGAACAAAAATTAAACAAATTAACTTCAAGTGAACCTCATGAATGCTTAAAATCTTTTCAACAACAATTCCACCGGTTAATAAAACTCTTAGTTGATAATGCGTACCTATATTTTATTCCTGTGAACATGCATTCAGAAAAAAATGCTCTACCGACGCAGTTCTCCAGGAATACATTTTACGATTCTCAGTTGAGAAGGGCGAGGAAAGCGAAATAAGTACCTCCAACGGTGGGAAAAGTGAGCTTATGGCTCAAGTTTCCAACACGGAATTGGGGCACTTTCATTTTTAATTTACAACACCTGTAAATAAGAACTAGTCCTCAGGAATGGCAGACGGGACCTCATTCACTCACAACCCCAAGGAAAGTTTCCAAGCACGGCCTAGCGCGACGAATAAAAATCCCTGATTGATGTTGAGCGTCAGGTCGAGCGAGTGGCCGCTCGGTGAAATGAAGGCGCCGTTTTCTTGAATACTTCCTTTACACGTAAACTCACCCCCAGTTGCTATGATACCTCCAATCAACCGGTAACTACTCGGATGCTTCAACGCGTGAGCTGTTCGTCTCCGATAAATAAACAAACGTACCCTACGGAAAATTCAAACTGGGTCGGGGACCACTTTAATTTTTAACTTACTCTCCAGTTATTCGTGTAAAAACTTCTTGTCAGTGAAAACGTCGATACTGACCTTACTGAGTCTCGCAGTTGTGTATTTCTAGGATCTACCGGCATAACCTATAAGGAGTTTCGCTGCGAATTGTGAGTTTTTCCCTTTACCTTGATCATATCCCGCTGTTTTGACATCATGAAACCAAACAAGCCTCTCGTTTTATTTGATATTCTTGCTTTATTTGATAATCTTTGAATTGGATTACAAAAATACTTAAAAATGTTTTTTTTTTTAAAAAAAAAAAACAAAGACACCAAAATAGTTAGTGTGCAAGTTTGAGCTTTAACAAATTGGAGAAAAGTTAGAGGAAAAGTGTTTACATCCACACAGTCCAAAAACTAGTGGAGAGCATTATGTTTTTTGCGATTTACTCCCATTCAACCTATTATCCCGTGAAAAATGAAATTTAAAGTCACACTGAGAAAAAACTATGGTTATAATTACCATACTAGTGGTGTTCAATATGCACTCTTAATTAGTAGTGGCCATAACCGATAATATGATATTTTTACTGGAACACTCGTAATTTTACAAGTATGCGGTAGAGAAATTACCATTTAATGGTAAAATATCTCTTTTATTGATTATGGCAACTATTAATTAAGAGTTTATATTGAACACCACTAATATGGTAATCATAACCATACTTTTTTCTCAGTGCAAGAGCCTATAACAAACAAATAAAAAATTAATAAACATTAAAATATTTTGGTGAGATCTACGAAAATTGATGAAAGGGCTTTGCCAATGGCATCATTGTCAACTAAAATAACTTCAAGTATTATAAAAAACAAAAAAACTACTCTCAGTAATGACGTTTCAGAAAGTCCCATTAAAAAATGAATCTCTTAGTTCAAAAACAACGCAGCTCGGGTTTTTTACAATGTACAATTTTTTTCGTAGAAACACTCCTTTTCTAGCACGCGGTTTTTAACTTCTGAAAAATTCCATTTTTCCGAGGATGGGTCGTTTTCGAACCGAAAGATTCAACTGCAGTCGTCCATTTTTCTGCATTTATTCACCAGTTGCCTTTTATCAATCATGAAATCATTCAGAGTGATCTCTTTTCAAAATTTATCTCAGAAATCTAACCCCTATTATCTTCGAATATATTTCCCACTCTGACCACTCTCTCATTTTGAAGCTATCGCGTTTTCTTCACTTAATACTCCGAGATTTTTTACTTCTTTTACGTTAAAGCAAGTTTTTGGTTTAAAAATATTAAAAAATCCCCAATTTGCATACAATAGTCCTAATCTTCCTCTTCGAAAGTACTTCGAATTTGTTGGAGTTTTTTACCAACGTGCGTTAAAAATTCAGCTTAAAGCTGAAAAGCTCAATACAGAGGGAATAGCTCATAAGAGCATAGTTTTCCCTCAAAGAGATAGACTAGTGTTGCACGTTATAGCATATCTCTTTGAGGGAAAACTGTGCTCATATGAGCTTTTCCCTCTGTATCGAGATTTTCAGCTGCATGCTGAATTTTTAACGCACGTTGGCAAAAAAACTCCAACAAATTGTCTTCCGACCCGTGCGTCCACCGCAATCAGTTTGTGTACTTCTAGTTCCTCACTAAAAAAAATTCGTGCACATGATCCTCATATTAATTCTAACGTCGTTATTTATGGGGCTGCGTGCTTTCTCGTTCGAAAAAGCATTCTATAACCCTCAGAAACTTGTAGGCTAGTATAATTTTACACTTGTACCTTATGTATATCGCTGTATATAACTGTTTACCATATGACGTGTGCCATAGCCTCAGCCAGAGGCTCAATTGTACAAATTATAAAATAAATAAATAAAATAATCCTCCTTTGTTGCCAGGAATGTCGAAAGTGATCGAGCTGCCTCGAAGCCAAGGGGACGGGCAGCGTCAGGGAAAGCCTCGGAACTCGATGGACATGTACCGGCCGACGGCCAAAGAGGTCCTCCATGGCCTCCTCAAATTCCAATCGCACCAAAACCATTGCAACCACTCAAACCATTCCGGCTGTAACAATGTTAACCAAAACACCCCGCTGATGAGGGAGGACAGCCTTGAGTCGCAGAGCTCTCAGCCGGGCTCTCCTGTGCTGTCCCAGAGAGCCCTCTCCGGCCAAATCACCACTGCCAACAATTTGCCCAGCCCTGACGAGAAGGAGGAGGAGGAGGAGGAAGAACTACGTAAGTAACTTCACGGAACGATTCAAAAATATTCCAGCGGGCCGATTATTGAAATTGATAGACAAGGCGATAGACATAGGAGACATGGGGAGTATGGAGCTATCCTATTGTTTGAAATGGGTGGTTCCTATAGACTAAGGGAGAAATTGATGGACTAACTATCAGGTCCCTCGTGGGTTGCCGTTAGTTAGTCTATTACCTACCTCCTTTGTCCATTGCAACCACCCGCTTCCACCGATGGGATCCCTTCATGTCTTCTTTGTCTATCGCTTTGTCTATCAATTTCAATAATCAGCCCAGAGACCAAGGTACTCTAAGATATAAAATACAGTTGATAAGCAATAAATCGAGGGCTAACGAACAACTCTGCGCAACTGAGAATTTTGGCAAAAGTGAGTAAGCGACTTGGCCGCATTTTACAGTATAATATACGCAAGCTGATGATTTTAGGTTTTTTCTAATACTGTAGGAGAGCGCTGCAATGACGCAGTAATTTATGAAAAAATCCCAAAGCTGACCTTAATATTACAAAAATGGCGAAGTTCTCTTCTCTTTCTGCAAAATCGTCAGTTTGCAGATAGGCGGTTGTATTCCTTAGCCATTAAAATGGATATACAAGGCTGAAAAACAATATAAACCCAACCAGGACGACCAACTTCTAAACGGAGTTTGCACTGATTCATGCTTTGGTAGGTTGCATGCTCATTTTCTTGTTTTAATTTTCCACTTCGTTCCAGTTGAGAATGGGCATGTAATTGGCCCGAAACGTCCTGGTTGTTGTGGTTATATTGTTTTTTAACCTTGTGAGCCATTTGTTGTTTATTTATTGTATTTTATATCTTTATGCATTTGAGCTATTGCTTTGTGTCTCTCTTATCACTTTGATATTCACAGACAGACTATTTATAGTTGTGATTATTTTCCTTTTGGTTCAAATACCACGTGAAAACTATGTACCATCGTTCATAAAACGTCAATTTTCTATGTGGTGCGTTACCCAGGATGGTTAAAATAATCTGCTTGCAGACATCAGGGAGATGTGTTACGGAGACTCCCTAGGTGTTTCTGTGTGTTTGTTTTAATTTAGAAGAGATCCTAACCTAAGTAATTCTAACTATTTATCACTCAGAGTAATTTTTTGGTTGATTAGAACTCAGAGTCAATGAAAATTTTATCTTAAAGATCGGATTGGAAAAACCAATCGCACACACCAAGAAACGCCGTGACACTCGATAATTATATAAACGCCGGTGTCGCGGTTGTGCATAGTCGCTAATTTGAAGGCGAAATGTGCCACGGTCGGTAGCAGTAGGCTGTAGTGAGTTCCCGTTCAATCTCGTGTAACTCTTTACTGCTTGGTCCTATCTAGGTATTCTACAGGTCTCATTATTACCTTTATCTTTATGTTTAATTATACAGGGTGATCCAAAAGTCCCTTCCACCCCCTCTAACCTTTTTCCTAATTGAGGTAAAGATTTGAAACTTGGGGGATATTCCTAGGTCAAAGGGAGCTACTTTTTGGCCCCCCCAAAAATTTCCAGGGGGCCCCCCTTGGGGGAAACGGCCCCCAACTTTTAATTTTCAAATAGGAAGACCCCCTTTGTGATAGCTCGTTCGAAAGAGCATAAAAAAAGAAAACTTTTCGCGCAAACCCGAAGTCAATATCTCAAACCGTTTCAAAATGGCGGCCGGTTAAAGTTCAAAATGACCGAAAATTCACAGCGGTTATTTGTTGATGGATTTGCGCGAAAATCGGTATGTAGGGGTATTTTGACACGAGAAAAACGAATTTGACGTTATATTTTCAAAAAAACCAAAATTTCCAAAATGGCCGCCGGTTAAAGTTCAAAATGACAAAAAATTGATTTTTTTAGAAATCTAAGTTCGAATTTGTTTATCTTATGCCAAAATACTCTCAAATTCCAAGTTTTAGGCAAATCCATCGGCAAAAAACCGAGGTGACAATTTTCGGCCATTTTAAACTTTAACAGGCGGCCATTTTGGAAATTTCGGTTTTTTTGAAAATCTAACGTCAAATTCGTTTTTCTCGTTTCAAAATACCCCTACATGCCGATTTTCGCGCAAATCCATCGACAAATAACCGGTGTGAATTTTCGGCCATTTTGAACTTTAACCGGCCGCCATTTTGAAACGGTTTGAGATATTGACTTCGGGTTTGCGCGAAAAGTTTTCTTTTTTTATGCTCTTTCGAACGAGCTATCACAAAGGGGGTCTTCCTATTTGAAAATTAAAAGTTGGGGGCCGTTTCCCCCCAAGGGGGGCCCCCCTGGAAATTTTTGGGGGGGCCAAAAAGTAGCTCCCTTTGACCTAGGAATATCCCCCAAGTTTCAAATCTTTACCTCAATTAGGTAAAAAGTTAGAGGGGGTGGAAGGGACTTTTGGATCACCCTGTACTTGAAATTTCTTTATACTTCTAACAACTAAAAATGTATAGGGGCCCGATATCGTTCTGTGAATATTTTCTATTATCTAACGGGCTTTTCATCATTTGAACAGCTGTCGTTTATTCATCTGGATGCCTGCTACCTCCAACTGCAAATCCATATGACAAATCACAGAAAATAAAAGAGGCCAATGAGCAACTTGAAAAGTCGATGAGGAAGGAAAAGAAGAGGAAGAAGAAGAAACAAAGCAGAGAGGTTCATTTCAACAGTGTGATCAAAATGGAGGATGACGGTAAGTTTGCACCTTTACCACTTGCAAATATACATAATTTTCATCCAATTTCAGAACTACTTAAAGCCTTGATCAACTTGTATTATTAAAAATATTAGTCTAATTCATGTCGTGCTTAAGTGTACTACAATTCTTTATCTTAGCGGTTTTAAGTAAACTTCAAAACAATTAAGACACATCTCCTCAAGTAGTGCGTCAGCTCTCCACAATTAATCAAGAGTATACATTTTTGGACGTATTTCTACCAAACGAAACTAAGTGCATTATGACGTGAACCCTGTTATGCTCATTTTCTTATGGGTCTTAGGGCCCATGTCTTGACGCACATAGTTTGATTTGGCAGAAATACGTCTAATTAAGGAGGCTTATTTCCTTACTTCTTTCAGAGGTAAATTACAAGCAAATCAAAACACACTAGACTTATAGGTATAAAAATGGACAAATATCCTAACTTTGTTTCATCTATTTTAAGGGGTGGAAAATAGGACAGAACCTTGATGACCTAAGTATTAAACGGTACTCGACCTTCAGAGTCATAGTTTTACTTAAAATTTGGACAGTGGTGAGGTGTGAACTATCGACTATTGATATTTCCTTTATTTGAAACGGTGGTAAAGAAATCAATCATTAAAGTGCTCGTTGCGAACACCCTCTTTATCGATCCTCTTCCATAGGTTTAAATGGTAGATCAATCGACGTATCGCAAAACACGCCACGCCACTGAATTTGGAATGAAATCAACGAAGAAGCACACTTCTTTTGCACTTGCCTTCTTCATGTTGACCTCTTTTAACTACCTCTTTGTTCATTTCTAGAAGTTGCTGATTCTACTCCGCCACTAACTCAAGATGAGTCAATGGCCAACTGCAATTCGAAGACCAGCGAAGAGCAGACCCCAAAAATTGACCCCACAAAAAATGACCAGAGAATCGATCTAGATTGCACGCCATCAAGAGTCTCCAGTGCCATGCCTACAGGCGACCCACCAGCACCCAAAAAATTAGAACTTCACCGATCAGTCAGTTCGGAACCAAACTTTAAAACCATTTCGAGTGAGACCGGGTCCACGAAGAAAGGCACCCCTAAAACTGGTTCGGAGGACGAGGATTCTGATGTGTGCACCGGAAGAACCGGTCAGGGTTCTCCCAAGAAAGTCAAAGCCAAAACTAACCGAGAAAAAGTCATGGAGTACCTTACATATCCTTTTTTCAGGTGAGTGATAAATGGACGTATTTATGCTAAAATGAACTATGTGCATAGGGTTTACGTGCAACATACTTCCTTTTAGCATAAATTCATCGTAATGTGAATAGGAACTGGTTGAAGTGCTGTCATAAAGTGTGGCAAGTTTAACTGTCAAATAGAATATGGTTTCATTATATCTGAAAATTGGAGGTATTGAAGAATATGCCATAGAGACCTGGAATCTGAATTTGCCCTGAAATAAGATTTTCATTAAATTTTATCAAAATTTCTTCAACACTGAATCCCATCTTATAATTCACTGAATCGACACTTGAACATGCTACTGGTTCAACAGCCAAAATTTTATTGAGGTACAACGTGAATGGTGCCAAGCTCAAGCTCGTATCCATTCACCTATTTCTTTCTATTTTCAAAGTGGGTCATTCTCTTTATTGTTGACATTATTCTAGCTCAGCAATTCTAAACAAATGTTACCGAAAACCATTGAAATTGATGCTCAACTGGACCTTTTCCTTAAAAATTGCTAAAATTAATTTCTCATCAAGAAAACCCCGACCTCTTTTTCCGTTGAAAGTTGATGAACGTGTTCGACCGAATTAGGTGATGTACCATCAGGTGATAATTATCATGGCTGCTCAGTCATATGGTAAATTTTTGGGTTCCAAATTTTAATATTCTGTAATATTCCAAATTGAAGCGCTGGGTGCAGACAGGGCATTTTCTGATTACAGTGGCTCATAACTCCAGCTTAATTTTTATACATTACAATTATTTAACTATCCAGCAAATGTTTGTAATTTTGTGTAACTTTTACTGAATATTCTTTATGATTTAACAGTGCTAAAATTGTAAAATTTTAGAAAATTCACCTATGCTTTCCTCGACATAATGAAAGTTAGCACTGGTAACTGTAAAACCATAACCAAGAAATGTCCTTTCTGCATCCAACGCTCCAATTACCGATGGTCCTGGTGATGCCCATATGTGTATGCCATTTTTATAAACTTTGCCATCTTTTTATTTTGTGTTTTCAAATTTGTTTTAGATCCACCCCAAAACCACGCTTCGAGCAGGGGCGATGTCGGCCTGAACCGGTCGGGCGAAGTCTGAGCGAGCCAGGACCGGTAGATCACATGATCTCATCCCAGTCAGTCCTCAGTTCGTGACCCCCGGAGGATCCGGAACCTCCCGAACTCGAGCATTCCGTTAACTCCGGAGACACCAAGCCGGAGGAAACACTCCTCGCCGAACAAGAACCAGAGCTAAACAGAGTCAAGTTAAGGGATAAAATCTGCCGAACCCTCCAGATCCTCATCCCACATTCCGCGGCCAAAGAGGGATTTTCGATCCGGAGAAAGAACTCCGAAAAAATCGGGCAGACGTGGATAACTCCGGAATCGCTGACTTGTTCCGGAGTGCCGCAAAACGACCCGGGCCTCTTCGTGGGCTACAATATACTGAACAAGTACAATTTTAATTATTTCAGGGACAATTTGAAAAAACTCTCAGTTCGCAACCCTGCGTTCAACAACTACCTCGAAACGATCAGTGAGCATGATGAGTCGAAACAAACAGAGGTAGAGACGGAGACGACGCCACCTGAAACGAAAGAATCCTCCAATAAAGTAATCCAAAATTCCGGAATTTCAGTTTCAAATCTTCCGGAGAACAATTTTCCTAAGAAAACGCCCAGTAAGATCTCAGAGAAAATCTCTCGGTCCAAAAAACTACTCAACTCGAATAATCTGTCGAGTCAGCTGGATTACTTCTTCCCTGAAAGTCGGAAAGTCTCGAGTCTCAAACACCCCCTAGTGATCGAAACCAAACCACACATGATGGTAACCAAAAATCATGTTGACTCTGGGGGTTTCGACGTTAGAATTACGTCGAAGTACCCCTCGGTGCGTGGGAACTCGGCGAAAAAAGCCCGGAAAAGCCGGTCGGTGGGACCGGCCAGCTCCCACGGTCGGAAAAACGCGGCGCGACCTGTCAGGAAAATCCAAAGTGCGGATCGGGCGACCAGTCGCGGTTTCCAGAAGGCCAATAAGGTACACGTGGCAGGTGGCAGCCCTGAGAAAGTGCGCGGGAAAATTGAATTCGGCAAAACGAGAGTTAGTCGGCTCAACGGGTCGAGCAACTCTGCAAACGAGTTTAAGGGCAGGAGGGGGAGTGGGAAATTCAGTAGAAGCGATGAAGATTCGCAAGAGGGTAGTTCCAGTGGCTCGAGCACGAAGGCTCCTGCACGGAGGATGTGCAGCAAGTGGAGTCAGTTCAAACTTCCGAAGTACAATGGACTCAATTCGGAGTATGGGCTGTCGGCTGACCAACTGTACGAGCGGAAAATGTAAGTCATTTCTTAAAAGCAAAATTTATGAACCTAGTTGGACATAATGATGAATATGGTTGTAAAAATAGCAATATCAATGAATTTTTGGACGTAATTCTATCAAACGGAACTAAGCGCCATAGGGGCGGAAGGGAGAGGGGGGCTTGGATTGGCGGGTGTTGCGGAACGCGATGCTCGTTCCGTCCTATACTCGCAATGCTTTTCCATGGCGCTTAGTTTCGTTTGACAGAACGCGCTATTTGGGATTCCAAAGTCTTCAAATGGAACTCAATTTGGCACTTAGTTCCGTTTAACAGGAAAACGTCCAGTTTATTGAAATAGTACAGCCAAAGCATTGCGATAGTTACTGTGTTAATGCGAAAACCTTCCGCAAATTGTAGGAAATTGAATAAAAAACATTAACTATCGCAATACCTTGGCTACACTATCTCAATAAAATATTGACACAATGGGTCAGATGACCCAAGCGGTGTTGATCGCGATATTTTGAAACCAAGTTGCGATTTTCTATGATTTCTTGGCGAAAAAGTCACTAGGATTATCAGAATCTGAGCGATTATCCTCGATGTTATAGCAATTTTATCTTCCTAAAATATTGCGCACAATAAAATCGAAATTGAACTACAAGTAATGACAATTTTTTGTTTGATGAAATTGTAATAATTTGCCGGTTTTATTTTTGCATTTGATCAGAGAATGAATTGCAATTTGATCAACGTCGATTGATCGCAATATTATCGGATAAAAAATTGCGATTTCATCGCATAAATATGCAATATGACCGGCGATTTATCGCAAAAGTATCGAACAGAACACGGTACACGGTGATAAATTGGAATAAAATTTCGATCTTGTCGTACGCAATTTTAGAATGTTAAAATTGCGACAAGATCGAGGATAATTGCTCAGATTTTGATAATTTTTTATTCTGTCTATGTGTGCACATTTTATTAATTACATTGTTGCATTAGTCATCTACGAGTAGACGGAAATTGGAAAATCTTACTTCCAATCCCAAGTTCGCCTCAATGTTTCCTACCTACGCAACTACATTTTCTTTGCAAATCATGTGTGACTTTGAACAGAAGATCTCATTCTCTGGTGACCCAGGGTCAAATTTTGACATTGTCATCCCCGGTATGAGCGCATAATCTTCACAATGTAGCATTACGGTGGGTATAATATCGAACTTTTGATGGGCGGAACTTTGAGGCGCAATGCAATGTCACAACAATGCGTTAGTGATGCACTTGCCAGCTGAAGGATTACCCATTGATTAATGATGCGAAACGAGCGGTCGATGCCAAGGAAACCATGCGCACGTTTCTAACTTTCACGTCAATGTCAAGATTCGAGTGTATGCTGAATCGTATTTTGACGTTGTGAAGGCGTTTTTTACGCCGCGACGCATGCTTTGAACTCGAGATACCAGGCTTGTTTACTGTTGAAGTGTTGACACGGTTTATGCAAGAATGTCTGATGTTCAATACGGTGTTTCAGAGTTTCCGAGAGGCGATTCATTAAAACTTAAGTTGGACTATAATTTATCTGAGGTGTTAGAAATTTAGAAAAATCATGTTTTAAGTCCAAAAAGTAAAATCAAAAGTTTACCGAGGACATTGACTTTGTTAACCAGATTTTCAGAGTGAAAAAAAGCACCATTTACAGAGGAAATGTCGTAACTTTATCCTAGGTTTTTTCCCTTTCTTTTTTGATTAACCAAACGAGCAATCATCCCATATAATTGCAGAATAATTATGGTGAACACTTTGAACTTGAACAGATAGAATAAAACAAATCGATGATCTGATTTTCTCGTAATAGAGCATTATGAGTGAAAAACAATTGCAAAATCTAAATTCGAGTTACGGCGCTTTTGCTGTGAACAACAGAACTACTACAATACAAATAATTCTGAAAAATACGATGGATATAAAAAATTTCAGTACGGCCCGATTGAATTCAGACAAAGATTACTGTAGTTTTCATTCTCATTCTCTTTGTGTGTGTGTGTGTGTGTGTGTGGTTTTTTTTTTTTTTTTTTTTTTTTTTTTTTTTTTGTAATTTAACGATGAAGAAGGATTTTCACTTTGCTTTGCATAGGAATTGGACTCGTCTGGACTAGGAATTAAGACATGCTAATTCTCTTGTTTAGACAAAAAGCTGAACGGGCAAAGTTGCAAAGGGATCTGAACCAGCAGTTGAATGCAGAAAAAGAGGAAAAGCAAAGGATCAACGAACAAATGTTTCGAGCTTGGCTTGCGAAGAAACGGGAGCAGTCTAAACAGAAATATATGACTTTTTCTAAGTTCAACTACGCCATTTACTACTCAAAATTCTCTCCACTGTGAGTATTTCAAAATTCGAAAAAACAGATTCTCTCTTAATAAAAACAAATCATCCTGTAGGTAGCCAAGAAAGCAGGGTGTGGGGTTAGGATTCAGCTCATGCATTCTTATATAATATTCTCCTAAAATTCATGCACATTATCATAAAATCCTCAAAACTGATGTCATTTCAGTTTTTTATTCATAAGTATCATTCACTAATCACCCAAAAAGGAACCACTAGAGAGGGTAAGATTTATAGTTTCACAAGGCATGTGTTTTGGTCAAATGGACGTATTTTTATCAAACAGACCTATGTGGAGCTGAGAAATATGGGGTGTGCTCGTCGAAGCTGGATAAGAAGCAATATAAAAGTGGGCGTGGTTCCTTTTGAAGAATTGGAAAAGCGGAATATTACATTCTATCAAACAGACCTATGTGCCAACTGAATGCGGGATTCATGAGCCGCGGGCATGGCAAGAGAGCGTTGTAGACAGGGCTCATGAGTTAAAGCGCCCCGACGACGATGTTCCCGCCGCGCCCACTCCGCCCACCCTCGTTCGTTGCCGCTGACGTCACTGGCGCTTTATTATTCTCATTCACTCTTACGGCCAGAGAACTAACGAGCACACCCTATATTTTTCACTTGCATATAGGTTTGTTTGATAGAAATATGTCCAAATCTTCATAAAGATGCTGAAAATGCTCAAAATCAACTCATAAAGCAGGATTTAGCATTTAGAGTTTACATTAGAATCGTGAAATTCAAACCTCCCGCCTCCAATAGAACCATCATCGACGAAGCTCAAATCGGCTTCGGGAGCAAAATCATTTGTCAGCAAATTGAACAAATCATGTTTCATTAAATGTCCTCTCTTTTTTGGCGCAGAAGTACATTTAAAAATGTAAAAAATAAATCCAGCACAAAAAAAACTATTCCATCTCAATACACAGTGAAATAAGTTTAGTGCCCGACTCCCTGGTAAAAATTGGCAGTAGAATCTGTGTTCCAAAATACCATAGACCTACATCCGGCTGTAAGATTTCAAATAGCTTCTATAGCCGGCTACACAATTTTTTATAGCCTTTTACAGCCGATGGCGATTAAGCAACAGCCAGGCGATAAAGTGTATGCTAAACGTTACTAATTACGGATCCTAGGACTTAGTGAGTTTATGGACTACTGCTCTCTTTTTGAGCCGTAGTATCTTGATTTATTTTGCGAGGAAAGCTCCGTACTTTTGATGAATGCCAGCCATTCCTAATATATTACAGCGCCTTCAGTTTCGTATGATACTGTGCAATACCTCTGGTGTGACATAGTTGCTTCAAGCGCCGTGGCACGCTGCGGCGCGGCGCTGCCAGCGCAAAACGCGCATTGGCGCCTACAAACCTAACAGGGATACTTCACGCGTTGCGCAATGCGTGAAGTATCCCTGTTAGGTTTGTAGGCGCCAGTGCGTCGCCGCTCCGCTTTGTGTTAGGCTCTAATATTCAATCTGGCGGAGTCAGCGTTATTCAACTCATGATTTTGAAATGTTTGCACATCCTGTATGGATTATTCTCATTTTAATTGATGAAAAAAAATATGTATTAAAGGAAAATATAATGTGTGTTTTGTAAATATTAAGGTGGCTTCGTATCAAACTTAATGATTTCCAAAGCACACGAATTTCTACACAAAATCTTATAGCCTTTTGTAATCGATGGCGAAAGTGCAACAGCAAGGCGATAAAGTGTAAAGCCCGGCGATAGGAACTATAGCCCGGCTGCATAATTTTTTATCGCTTCATATAGCCCGGCCGTATGATTTTCTCCGCATTCTACAGACAGCTTTATGATTTTCTGTAGCCTTCTTTAGCCGGCTATAAGAATTCCTATGGTATTTTGAAACGCAGCTCTTATCGCCAATTTTTACCAGGGCTTTACTTGAGCAGACTTTATATCAAGGGGGAAGTTCTAATTTCAAAATATAGAGAAGGCTGATTATGTCTCACTGATTGTGAGTCATAGTTAGAGACTTTTTATGTATCCACAATATTTCCAGTCAAATTTTGGTGGGCGGTGAATCGAGTTTATCAGAAACGCACCAAGTCGCATTACGTTTGAACTTAAGAAAAAGAGGGTCGAAGTTTCATTTCTCCCTAAAACCTCAGTGCTGTGAAAATTGTGACGACTATCTTCACGTTAAAAATACTTTATTTTGACCTCAAGCTTTTGACTGTCAAAATAAAATATTTTAAACGTGAAGATAGTCATAAAAATTAGTCCTTAGCCTTGAAGTTTCGACTTCGAACTTTTGACTGTAGGCCTCGGGTCCGAACCCCATTAGTTGCGTCCAATTTTCACGGAACTGATTAGCGGATCTGCAGGAACAGATTATTCTACTCGGCGTTAATTCCTGAAAAATTGAAAATCGCAAATTCCTCACACACGCTACATCTCCATTGCAGTGATTTTACCTGGGATCTCATGTAAAATTCACCCAAATTTTCAACACAAATTGCGCTATGGCATTCTCATAAGAAATGAAATTGTTTGAATCAAGTTTACAACCTCGGAATGGAGTTACGTGCCTTCGCACGGGAAACGACGAATAATTTTCTTTAATTTCAGGAACCGGCGGTCGAGCCCGGCCCAGCTGGAGGAGAACAGACGGACACAAAATGGACATGGAAAAGTTTCTCAGACTAAATGCACCGAAGAGGAAGGATCTAATTTCGAGATATACCTTGGACTCTCCGTTGACTGAAAAGGACCCGACCGCGACTAATTTCATCGGGAGAAAATAGCTCAGGCTCAGGTGTACGGGGCTCGCGATTCAGTCGGAGATTGTAATTAACTTCAAACTCCTCAAACTGATCCAAGGAGCTTGATCACTGTCTTGTGGTTATCGTATCACAGCAGGTGATATAATCAGTATGCCTCGGAAATAACGGATTAAGTCCTTGCAAGATTCGCTGGACTACGCCAGATTGTGGAATCCATTTTTCTAGCCAATTGTAAATGTTTACCCTGATAATTTTGGTCATCAAACAATGGATCATCAGACAGGATGAAAACTGGAATACATTCTCCAATAAGGAGCTACTATTTCAACGCAGCTATCTGTGTAGGTAAAGTAATGGAACATGTGTTATTTCTGGACCTCGCCAGAATTATTAGGTCATTGTTGCAAAATTTGGTCCAACTGCACTACTAAGTTATATTTTTCAGTCAAAATTTCACACAGAATACGTTGAATTTTCAAAAAAAAAGAAAGAAAAAAAAAGAAGAAGCTTTAAGTCAATCAACGATTGAAAAATTAGTGTCGATAGTTATACTTAGAATCACCGAATTCAAATTTCTCACTTCAGAAAAATAAAAATCAACGCAGATTAGCAATTGAACCTTCATCACTTTAAAAATACAAATATGTCATGTTGGTATAAATAACTCCTCTCTAAGTCTGTTTTTGTGGAGCTTTAGAGAAAAATTCAACTCGCTAAGAAATTATTTCATTATTGAATGTCTGAAATTTTCCATTATTTCAAATCTTTACAATGTGCTGGAATTATATCAATCGATATTATATGTGATCCAATTAAATGCCCTCTCTGTAATTATTAAAATTAAAAAAACATAATTTAGTATGTTTTTTTTACGTTTGACTGAGAGTACTGACATGAATGTGGTGGCCAATTCGTTGAAGGTATAGCTCATTGTTTGGCAAATGACAAGCACATGACACATTAATATCTTGCATACAAGTTTTTGGAAGCTTTTAAACTTTCCACCGTATTCTACGTAACTTTTTTCTCCTGCTCTGTGGTCCATTGTTAACGCAAGAGTCAGTATATGGCCCGTGAATTGTCTCTGCTTTACGAAAGAGCGGCGCTATCAGAAATATTTATACATTTCATTCCCTTTTTCAAAGTTTTTAATTTCAGGACTTTATGTTCCCTCAATTTTTTAACAATGAATCCATTTGTTATATCGGCAGTGACGTCATGCGCTATTGTTAGTTGAGAGTTTTTTGTTTGTTGTTATCTAGTCAATGTATCCATTTTAGACTTGAATCAATCAAAATATTTGCATTTGGGTCACTTCATTGATCATTGGATCCCTGAAGGCTTCAAGTTATACGTTAGTGCTTTAAGACTCGGATGCAACTATTCATGCACAAGGGATATTTGTGTTGCATACAGGAAAAGATGAAGGAGTTTCTTACTTTTTAATACAAAATTGCAATACCGATTAATTTAACTGTATACGTGCAAGCACAGAATAATCTGGAGACATGCTGATTAAATCTATACATTGGCAATTATGCTGAAGAGACTAGACGATTGTACCACTTTCGTAGTCTCACTTTAGGGAGGCAGCAAGCTTCTTTGAAGTTCGCAGTGATAAGAAAAATTAATATAATCGAAAAGGATGAAGATCAAAATGCAATTAATTGCGTCTCTGTGGGCTCATTGAACTCGTACTCGTATTTAATCTTGATCAATTTTTTACGTCGTAGACAAATGAATTACTGCAGTAAATTACAAATGTTGCACACATCATTTTCATGTGAATGTTATTTTACATCGCAGATCGAGTGCTTTCTGTAATTCCCTTCTCATGGAAGCTACCTTTTTATTATGTTGCTATGTCAGTTATGTTATACATTTTGTGAAGAGAAGGGCTAAAATGTGTATGTGTAGGTACCTTATCCGCGTTGTAGGCGGACTACTCGATCCATCCATAAATTTATGATACACTTATAATTTTATTAAAAAAGGAGGAGTTTAAGGTGACTTAACAAGATTCTGGAAGCAACAGATAGGATTAGTGCCTATATGGTTCCATTCATTCACTCTAAGAAGATTTGGTCTTAAATCTTGTTTCATACTCTTGACTTCAGTTCAACTATACGTCTAATTTCTCAGACTTCTTTTATTTTTACAGCTCATTATGGTCTCTTAAATGTTTTAAAATAAACAATACGGTTTTTTATTTTCTACATTTTTGAGAATTTTTTAATTTAAATCCCATCTATCTTCTCACTGGAAAAAAAGCACATTGGATCTTGAGTCCAGACTCTTGAATACATCGACAAGAAAAATACTCTTGATTCAATCAGATTTTTGCTTAAAGAAAAAGGAAATTCGCTCAAATAAGAGGCCTGGTTCTTGATTTAAGCAAAAATCCGATTGAATCAAGAGTATGTTTTCTTGTCTATGTTTGTAAGAGTTTGGACTCTAGATCCAGTGTGTTTTTTTTCCAGTGTATGGCATAATAAGTGATCTTACAATAGTTCTGGCAAAATGTTTTGTGATGCTGGGTTTCCTCATTAGATTCTTGTCAATTTTATGCATGCCGATTTGAATTTTTGTGTTCGCTTTGACAATAACCTAGGCAGAGCTTCGTTCCGCAATTCGAAATTTGTTAGAGTCGCCTGTTATTTTCCAATTGGGCGTATATTTATCGTTTAGTCTGAAAAGTAACTAAATTAAGCTTTCTACCTTCGTACGTTTTAAACTCGAAAGCTACCCTGCCCTTAACATTTTGCCTGTAAGCTATACTTTTCATAATAACTAAAAATTACCGGTTTTGGAAAAGTTCAATCTAAGCTGTATTTCCGACTGCGGTGAAACAGTTTGTATCATATCGCCCTTTGTTCAAACGCGCGAAATTATAGAATTTTAACGGTTTCAAATTCAGTTAAATCGGACCGACCGATTAAAATGACCTCGAAGCTGATAAAATCACTTCTATTTGAGCACACAGTCAAGTTAAATGACTATTAATGGGTACTTTTGATCGTAAAATTCAAATTTAGGGTCAAAAACTCTCCTTAAACATAAATGGTGCCCTACATTTTAGATGGCGCACATTTTGGAAAATAACAGGCGACTCTAACAAATTTCGAATTGCGGAACGAAGCTCTGCCTAGGTTATTGTCAAAGCGAACACAAAAATTCAAATCGGCATGCATAAAATTGACAAGAATCTAATGAGGAAACCCAGCATCACAAAACATTTTGCCAGAACTATTGTAAGATCACTTATTATGCCATACACTGGAAAAAAAACACACTGGATCTAGAGTCCAAACTCTTACAAACATAGACAAGAAAACATACTCTTGATTCAATCGGATTTTTGCTTAAATCAAGAACCAGGCCTCTTATTTGAGCGAATTTCCTTTTTCTTTAAGCAAAAATCTGATTGAATCAAGAGTTCATCAAATTTCATGTTTGACCTCTCTGATTGAATCGAGTCAATCAGAGAGGTCAAACATGAAATTTTTGACTAAAACTGCAAATTTTGATGTTTATTTTGTCACAATTTATATTTTAAGGGGTGTTTCTGGAAGACAATTTTACGAGGAAACCAATGGAACCACTGTCAGAATCCCAAAGTTTTGTGTAAGCGGAGTTATAAGTTTAAAGTTTCCAAATTTTGTCCGCCCTCTTCTATTGATTCGATCCACTGTGTAGCGGCTAAAATGGTCATTACGAGGGTCGATTATCTTTACATTCACGCGCATTGTCGAGTTAGGTGTCCACTCGTATTTAATTTTGAACAGGGACATTCAAGTTTGCTCTAGGGAAACCATAATGAAGTTAGTGTATGATATTAAAATGAATACTCGCACTATACTTTTATTTAATGAGAGACAGACGGCCAGAAATCAAAACTCAGCTTGATTCTGTCTATCTGCCGCTATCTGCCAGACACCCATATCGGTCGCTTGCTTTACATGTCTATGATAAGACTTCGAATGAAGGTGACCTTAACTGATGACCTTTTTGGGATTATTATGCTCATTGTCAGTCGCATCTGGCGTGGCGTAAGTAGAGCTAATCGGACAAATTTCACTTTGCTGGCAAAGAAAATTCGCAACCCTTCTCCACCTCTGCATGAAAAAGAGATGACAGCAAACTTCTCGTTGTCCCTGCAAATATTACAGTACATCCACAAATTACGCCCTCCTTTGATGGCTGTGTGATTTAATTTAATATCGGGAACACTTGTGAAGAAAGTTATCCGTGACAGTATGTTTCATATCCGATCATGTTTTGTGTCTTTAATAAAAGGATATTCGCCACGTCATTCTAATGTAAGTTCAAAGTATCCTGTTACTTATATTTTTTTAAAATTAAAAACGGGGTGCCTCGTGGTCCAAACTCCAAAGTGCTTCACACTTCAGGCGTTTTCCGTTACGCTTTACTCTTAGGATTCTTTTACGATAGATAGTGTACGATTGATCGATCAAAAAGCAACTTTCAAAAATTGTCCTCTTTTCATGGTGTCTAATCACTCATGAAAATACAAACAATATGACAGAAAAACGTAGGAGCATATAACTTGTAGTTAGACATTCAGATATGAAGTCTGAAATCTAAAACATTCCATCGATAAATTTTCGGATAAAGAAATTTTTTTAAAAATAGACCGCGTCAAGCAGAAAAGAATCAAGCCACATCAGCCCTTGCCAAATGTAATTGGGCATTTTAGTTTTTAACATGCAAACGGTTGTGCGTATTCCTGTGCAAATTTCAGTGAATTTTCTTCATGGTGCGAAACAAATTCCCTCAAATTTTCAAAGAAATCCGCACAAACGTTCTCTTGGAAAGAATGAAAATGCAAAAATTTAAATTTTTTTAAATTTAGCAATAGCTGATGTGGCTTGCTTCCTTTCCGCTAGACGCGGTCCATTTTAGGGTAGGACCAATAAGTTGATGCCATCTATTCAATTTTTTGCAATTTTTTATTTTTTTGCAAATTTCAGTGAATTTTTTTCATAGTGCGAAGCAAATTCTTTAAAATTTTCAAAAGAATTCGCACAAACAATCTCTTGTGAAAAATTGAAATGCCCAGTTAAATTTGGCATTAGCTGATGTGGCTTACGAAGTTCCTTCCTGCGAAACGCAGTCAAAATGTACACTGAAAAAAAAACACATTAGATCTAGAGTCCAGACTCTTAAAAACATTGACAAGAAAAAATACTCTTGATTCAATCGGATTTTCGCTTAAATCAAAAGGAAATCCGCTCAAATTAGGAGACTGGGTTCTTGATTTAAGTTAAAATCCGATTGAATCAAGAATATTTTTTCTTGTCGATGTTTTTAAGAGTCCGGACTCTAGATCCAATGTGTTTTTTTTCCAAGCGTGTATAATTATTTCACACTAACCAACAGAACAATTTTTAATCAAATAAATCGATTGAAACCTCAAACCAACTTCTCCTACCTTAATTATTCTCATTGACCAAGAATTGTAACTAATATGGAGATAGGCTTTGTATTCGTCACTAATTTACTCTAGTTCTCCAATCATTGGTGCCTATAATAGTTTATTTGACGCTTGCAGATACCGCTTCCCGAGTCATGGGGGTGATCGAGAAACACATTTATGCTCGAGAATTATGTCTTAAATCTAATGTCGGATGTACTCTGCTGGTCATTGCAATTAAGCCCTCTTCGATGGCTGCATTTCCAAACATTTTGGTGGTGGTTATGTTCGCCGTTCGACAATCATCATGAAGAAGGTTTATATTTTATTTATGTATGGAATTATGTGACTAAAACATGTTTATCCTGACAGAATACGATTTATAAAATGGAAGGAATACACAATAGAGACATAACATCAAGTTAAATTTCAGTCATTTTTGTAGAAATAATGTATTAGCGTTTCAGTACCTTCCTAATGGACCACTATATGGACAAGGTACGAATTTAAGAATTCTGATACATGCTTCTTAACCAGAATTTCACGTAGAAATTTCTTACATCGGAAATTACCAAAATCATGTCCTGTCTAAGATATTAACGTTTTTATTTTACATTGGTCACAGGAAATTTGAATTGCCAGATCACACGAAACTCAACACTCTACGTGAGTCCAATCTCGTACTACAACGGTTTTGACAAGCTTCTCAGTCCAGCACTGTTCATTTCCCACCATGTGTTGTTCAAACTATAAACACCATGCTACAGCTGAGCCAAAGCGTCAAGATTGAGGCTGCCAGACTTTCATATCCTAGATTGTCATGGAAATTTTTAGTGTGTGATTTGACTCGCGTAGACCATTGAGTTTTCATGAGCGGGATGTTTGAATTCACACATCAAGAAACATTAAATATGTTAGGAAGTTCAGTAATTTTCGTTTTGCAAATCGTGTTCTACGTAAAATTTTGGTCAAGAAACGTATTTCAGAATGCTCAACTTCGTGCCTTGTCTAGTGTTCCATTGTGCAACTTGAAGTATCGCTTGCTGCAAGTTATAGTGATCATTTCACAATTTGAGCAACATTGTAAAATCTTATACGTCGTTTCTACAAAGAATGACTCAATGAACACAAAAAATAAAAAAGTAAGTATTGTATCAATCATTGGAAAATAAAGTAAATCATTTATTACCAGGATTCTACACGCCATGGCCACTGAGCAGCCCGACCCCCCCCCCCCCCCCCCCNAGAGTGCAGAATGCGCGGGGAGGGATAGTGCAGCACAAGGAAGGGGTAGCGCACACTTTGCAGCCTGATTGTTGAAATTGTGTGTTTGTGGGGTAGACATAGATGACATAGGTTAAAAGGCGGAGCGTGATTATTCGGCTATGTCTTATCGCTGCTTATCGTGCCTTTGTCGAGTGGAGTGGGCGACATACTGTCGGAAATTTAAGAGGTGCCTACAGCTTGTCGTGCTCGTGAGTTCCACCCGATATAGGCACGACAAAGCAGCGATAAGACACATCGACGGTGAAACTACCAAACCACGTATCTCGTTTGCGGTGTTTAAAAATCTCCGCTCACATTTTATTTTTTTGAAGTAGACCAAATCAATATCATTCCTTGAAATTTTCACAGAATTTTCTCCGCACGAAGAGGAAAAATCACGGAAATTTTCAAGACTGGACGTTAAGTAGCTTTTCATTTAAAAAATAAAGTATGACAGGAAGTCTGCGACGTCGCAAACCGAGATACGTGGTTTGGTAGTTTCACCGTCGATATATAGC